GAAATGATTGCCACGTGAGTGTCAGAGTTTTAATGAAGGAACTCAGCTTCGTTATGCATGTATTATTCAGTGGCTCTTGGAAATCAAAAACCTTCAAGCAGTATAACTTTAATGCACTTGGTGTGCAGCCTCCGTGCGGTCATCTGCATCCTTTGATGAAGGTGGGACATAGTTTGTATTGTTTTGGTTACATGGAACACCACATTAGCTTTTGATAATAAGGATGGGTTCAGTAAGGAATTTGTTCAGGTACGATCAGAATTCCGACAGATTTTCTTCTCAATGGGTTTCTCAGAAATGCCTACAAATCGCTATGTGGAGAGCTCATTCTGGAATTTCGATGCACTTTTCCAACCTCAACAACATCCCGCGAGGGACGCTCATGACACGTTTTTTGTCTCAGGTAATGTTCATGTCGTATATACGCGGTTTAAATTTTCCTGAGTGCCATTCCTGTATATGATTCCTGAATTTCTAAAATATTTGACGATGTCAACATTATCAGAAGTCGCATTCACTTGAACGTAACACCACATTGAGAGTGACACTACTGGGAATGAATATCTCATTATCTACATTATCATTAACTACAGATCCTGCATTGAGTACCAAATTTCCAATGGATTATCTTGAACGCGTGAAGACCGTTCATTCGAAAGGTGGATATGGCTCTGCTGGGTTCGTTTTCCTCCTGTTAGAGTTATTATTTTTTTTAGACAGCGGCCATTGTAAGCTTAAAGAATCAAGCGCACGTTTGATTTGCTTTTTCTATTAAAATTTAGTCAATAAAGCCCAGTTTGGTTTCTAACCAAACAGCAATTTAGATCGGAGCATGACGGAGTGCATTGAATACGACTTGAACTAGTACTACGTGTTCAGTACACCCTGGCATGTTCTGATTGCAATCGTCACCTAGATCAAAAATTATTTGTTTCTTTTTTTGCAACGTTGTGGTCCCACCATAACCGGGTCTATATCGCGTTCGAGTATAATATAATATCGATTCTGTCGACTTGTCGTTACTGTGTCCTGTCGCTAAAACGCTTTTTAGTTTTGCGTTTTTTAGTTTTCTTTGCGTGGCACGGGTATTATCTCTAAGTCATTTCGTATTCCATTTCGGTTTGAGCAAACACGATCTATCTCAAACTTTTTAGATATAACTATGATTGGAAGATTGAGGAGGCGCAGAAAAACGTACTACGCACACACACGACCGCAGTTTCAGCGCGACAGCTTTTCAAGCTCGCTCAAGAGGTTCGCTTTTCATCTGTTTTTTATATTCATTCCTTCCAACGATAGAGACTGGTAACAAATATTGTTCGGTAATAATTTGACGATGTCATTAATTTTTAGAGGGGTTTTCAGATTTTCCCATGATCTTTTTCACCAAGTTCTAACACATGCGAGTTCAGGGTTTCAAACCAACGAAGATGTTTTCCATTGATCGAGTTTTCCGAAATGAGACACTGGATGCCACCCATCTTGCTGAATTCCATCAGGTAAAAACCTTTTATGTGATTTTTAGATGCATATATTATTCTTCGAATGTACTCAAGCCAACCATTCCTTTGACAGGTCGAAGGTGTTATTGCTGAACGCAATTTATCTCTAGCTCATCTTATAGGGGTATTCACAGAATTCTTCAAAAAACTCGGTAAGTTATTAAGCATAGATCTTTGTTTTCCCTTTTTTGCTGGACTGTTGCGTTCTATGTAAAGTCGTTTTCGCCTAATTATTAAGTCTTGAGGTATTGAAAATCTTCGTTTCAAGCCGACTTATAACCCTTACACTGAACCGTCTATGGAAATCTTTGCCTATCATAGTGGATTGAAGAAATGGGTCGAGGTAGGATGCCCATACTACGATTTGCTTTATTACTAGGATGATGGAGCGAGAAAAGTTTTTTCAATGAAAGTGTGAAATTTCGTTACTTCGGCGCAAGTTGTATATCAATCAGTCTCATCTGTAGGAGAATCTGCTCTGATATTCAGATTGGAAACTCCGGAATGTTCCGACCAGAAATGTTATTACCAATGGGTTTGCCCCCAGACGTGAATGTTGCTGGATACGGACTATCACTGGAAAGGTGAAGATGATATTTCATTGTAACTAGAAAACGAAAGCCTAGTAAGAACTAATATATACGAGTAACTGAAGTTTACGGTCATAAAGGAAAGTATCAAAAAAGTGAAAACAATTACGAAGCGCACTTTTTATTTCACCTTCAGCTATTCCCTGCACTATTGTTCACGAATAATTGAAATGAGCAGTTACTAATTTTCTCAGCCGTTGGTTGAAAACACTAATTCCGTCTCGTGTTCGATGGGCATTTAATGGATAGGCGGTTGGGATCGGGGATGGCAAAGTGGTAAGCACCCTTACTTCGGAGATTACAAACACGGACTCTCAGTCATCCGTTTCTGAACCGTTATAAGTAATTCTTCAAATTTTTCTGTCCCATCTGATAGGCTTTACCTATCCCATTTTAAATCCCTTCGACGACAATGCACCCACTGGTGGGTGCCACTATGACTAGCACATGGACATTGGCAGCCGATTTTGAGAGCCACCATTCTTTCTTTTTTCTCTCCAATTGCTTAATTCAGTAAGCCAGTGAAAGAATTTTCTCCTGGACAGTGCCTTCCATCAGTGGGTGCGCCAGTCGCGCGCAAAAGGAGCGGAGCGTGGTCCCATGGGCGCGTTACGTCGAAATCCGCATTGTTCGAAGGATATGCGGTTTCAGCGTTTTTTTCTACGGAACCTACAGTCATACATGATGTTTTGTTTTTTCAATGCTTGTTTTATTTTGAGTTCACATAAGTTTTCTACATAATATTTGTTGTTTGTTTTAGACCCACAATGATTCGATACGGAATCGACAACATTAGGGATATGTTTGGGCCCAAAGTAGATCTAGAAATGATCTACAACGGGCCTATTTGTCGGCTCGACAAGGTCAAAAGCTGAAGCCCCGGTTATGTGTAAGGACTGTTCTTGATGATGCTGTGATGTGTTTGTCCATTTATTCCTCTTGTAGAATGAGTTGTCTAATTGAATTTTCAAGTTGGTATTTAATTACACCACTGTTGGGTAGTTACAGTTGTCGCTAAAATCGCTAAAACTAGGTAACGTCTGCAATCCCCTACATTTAAGGGCGTAGTTGAGAGTTCCGCGGCAGGGAATTTGCGTGAAGCTTGATAGCCTAAAACAGTAACGCTCATATATTGATCTATCAGAATAGCATGTGGGCCAAAAAATGAGAATTAGGTGGCCCAAGTCAGAACCATTGGATGATGTAGCGTGATCCGTTCCAAGCTGACGACGAGATGAGTTACAGTTGTGCGGAACAGCTCATCTTGCTCAGTGGATCAGAAAAGGCGATTCGCTGTGACTGGGGCATTTGTGGCTCGAAACAAGAACAACAGACAGGTCGTATTGCTTTTGCTTCAGACGATTTTAGAAATAAGAGATTTCCCTGTTGTCAATATCGGTCTTGGAACCCCTCCCGGAGTAGTTCAATAGTTTCCTAGCATACCGCACCCACCACCTCAGTCGCCATTGGCAGTTTTGGCATTTTCATCATAAAATTATTTAAAGACAGCAGTTTCTGATGGGAATGTCCGCACAGCTTCCTTAATTTCTATTTTTTTTTCTCACTTTGTAAGAAGTGACGTAAAGAGTTTTAAGCAACTGTTCATTTTTCGTTGTTCCCCTTCCCGTATTGTTTTTTGTTTTGGTTGGGATTATTTGTTACATTTTACGATTTCACAGTCATTTTACAATTTATCAATATGTGCACACAAAGTCATCAAACTCTCAATATACTCTAAATATATTTTGTTTGAGCTTCTTCATCACTTCGCATTCACGATTTCAATCTGAAAATACATGTCTTGCTACATTTTGAAAACGGTGAAATGAAACATCAAAAATAGCGTTGAATAATTGAATATGGGGACTGCTACATATTCTCGCGACCTTCTTCTATCTCAAACCATTGACAGTACTATTCCAGCATCTTTTAGGGGTATTCAACACACGGTTCTTGAACATTGATTTTATATTTTCCTGAGCGGGGGGGAATGCAACCTTTTTTATTTATAATCTGAGCGGCGGAGAGAATTCGAATGCTGCACATGGGATGCACGAAACTAATGTTGAATGAGACTTGGGAGCTACAGGGCAGGAATAAAGTGTAATTCTCTGCTAGCGACTACGTCTTGGAAAATGGCGTATGCTCGGCGTGCACCGCATTTCTTCTGCTATGTCAGAAGTTGCCAATCGTATCGCCAAATATTTTTTCAACTTGCTCATAATGCACGATTTCATGGATATGTTATATGAGCCTTCTAATTTGAATAATCACAACTCTACTTTCCTTTAGCATCCACCCCCCCCCCTATCTTCTACCA